AATTTAAAATTTAAATTTAAATTTAAAATTCCTTTTAAAAATTCCTTTTAAAAACCTTTTAAAATTCCTTTTAATATTGAAAAGAATTTTAATTTTCTGTAACATAAATGTTGGAGTTATAGAAGTACTCCATGCAGGTCAGGGCTACCTCTCTTTGTGGTGATTAAAGTAATTTAAGAATATTGCAAATTAAGAAATAGAGGGGCTGGGGATTTAGCTCAGCGGCAAAGCGCCTGCCTGGCGAGCGCAAGGTCGTGAGTTCGGTTTCCGGTACCGGAAAAAAAACCAAAAAAAAAAAAAAAAAATTAAGAAATAGAGGATAGGTTATTACTCTCACTAATGTTCATCTTTTTTTTAGCTCATCTTGTGTCTCTGTCTAAAAGTAGGACAACATAGCAATAGGGGGATTCACCGAATTACAGACAAAATGGTAGGACATTATCCATGGTTGTTATTTTACCTATTGGTATCTTCAAGATAGTTTCTCAGGAAAATAAATAGACAAATAATAGTGAGTTACAGACAAAAATGGCAGGAAATTATCAGTGGTTGTTATGCTATAGCTTGGATTCTCCTAAGTGGTCTCTAGGGAAAACAAATAGAGTTATACATGAGTGATCAATCAAATAATCGTTGACTATTCTCAGTGGTTGTTGTTGAAAACATAGTAACAAACATACATCCATTTACAAAATAGCATAGGAACAATACAAACATTGCATAGTTATGGACAGATTGGTAGGAAATCATCAATGGCTGCTGCAATGCTTGTTGGCATCCTCAAAGTGGCTTCTCAGGAAAACAAAGATATGCAAGAAAGATCCAACAAGTAGTTACAGCTCAAGGGTTGTGGAAAAATAGCGGATTACCTCCTTATCAGTGACTCCCCTCACTGAGGTGTGACGGCTGGAAGGAAGGCCAGGACTGAAAAGAAGGACCGAGAGACCAGCACCAGTGTCCAGCAACGGGCCGTCCACTTTTTCCTCTATAGTCATGATTTCGTGGGGCTCCTCCTTGGAGACAATGGTCCGGCCAGAGGGAGAAGGCAGAATATACCCTGGGCCCCTTCATTCCTGCTGGACCAGTTGGTAGGAGGGGTCTGAGCCCCGGGCCCCGCTCCAGAGGGCAGCCCGACCTCCAGTGGCCACCCCCACAGTCAAGGCATGGCCTACGGGGCCTCCCAGGGCAATCCCACCCGAGGTGGCCCCGCCCCTGACAGCGGCAGCAGATGAATGCAGTCGAGCCCCAACTTGTCCCCAGGCCCCCGAGAACCAGACCCAGGGTCTGCCTCTCCCAGTGCTGCATCAAAGGCACCGTCCCCTCTCGGTCTCTCTGCCTTTTCTTTTTGGCCTCCCCCTCGCCACGGCCACAAAACACTGAAGAGGCAACTCCCACCAGCATCTCAAGCAAACCATCTGAGGCAAAAGCCATCCTGTGCAGCCCCCTTCTACTATCTGGGGCTGACTGAGCAACAAACCCATCCTCAAAAATAGTTTATACCCTCTACTGAGCTGGGATCCAGGGAAGTATGCTTTATCAATGCCGCTTGTCTAAGAAAGCAGGGAGGTGTTCTCTGCGGCCTCCCAGCGCATTGGGACCCCGCAACCACTTAGTGTCCTCTTTCCAACCATCAACACAGGCAGCAGGTGTCTTTTTTGGGGATGTATAAAACTACACTGATACTCAAACATTACTGCACTTGATTTTTTATTTTAAAGAGTAAAAGAAGGACAACATAGCAGTAGAGGGATTCACCGAATTACAAAGTGATAGAACATTATCAGTGGTTGTTATTTTACCTGTTTACACTTGATTTTGTTGAGTGAATGTTCTACATTTTATTTTTTTTTTTTTGAGACAGGGTCTTTGCTATGTAGTTCAGGCTAGCTTTGAACTCCCTATGTAGCCCAAGCTGGCCTTGAACTTGTGGTAATCTTCCTGCCTTAGCCTTGGGAGTACAGGTGTGCATACCACACTGGGTTTATTCTTTTTTTTTTTTTTTTTTTTAAACTCTTTTACTATTATAAACGATGTGGGATTCCCCTTCACATTGAGACTTTTCGTCATTTTAATTTGGAAGAAAAATTCATTTTGGGTCCTGCCTTTTTAGTCTTGTGAATAAATATTGCTTCATGTGAATGTATGCCTATGTACAGGTTTAAAGAGCTGACAGATTTGTAGATTATCAGGGTGACAGATTAACTAGGTTATCAAGGTAGTGGTATAGATTTTTTTGTAGCAAAAAAGTAAGGAAGGAATGAATTTAGTATGTGTTGTCAGAAAACTTGAATTTAAAGTAGTTTCATGCCCACTGAAATATTTTTAACTATACTAATTTTTTCTAGCTAAATCATTTATGGTGTAATTTAACCTTTTTAAAAATTGAGATGTAGGGGCTGGGGATTTAGCTCAGCGGCACAGTGCCTGCCTGGCAAGCGCGAGGCCATGAGTTCGATTCCCGGTACCGGGGGGTGGGGGGATTGAGATGTAAAGCCACATGCAGTACCATGCCCTGCTGTCAGATGTATTTTGTTTGTTTGTTTGTTTGTTTGTTTTTGTTTTGGTCTTTTTTTGAGACAGGGTCTTGCTATGCAGTTCAGGCTGGCCTTGAGCTCACTTTGTAACCCAGGCTGGTCTCGAACTCGCAACGATCCTTCTGCCTCAGCCTCCCGAGTGCTGGGATTACATGTCAGATGGTTTTTATAAGAAAGATTCAAGGGTTTTTCAAAAGAGTGTACGCCTTGGTTTGTTACTGAAATAACGGGGGTAGCTAATGTGCCCACAGACACTTTGGGATTCACTCTTAGGGAACCTGTTCAAAGCTGCACTATCAAACATTGTGTGAGTTTGATTTTCCATCTTCTTTGGCTTCTGGCTGTGTTTGTCAAGATGGCACTTAGTGTGTAGATCTGCAGTTTTGTTTTCTTTCCCCTCCCTGTCCTTCCTTCCTTCTTTCCTTTCCTTCCTTCCTTCGTTCCTTATTTTGGTTTTTTGAAACAGTCTTACTATGTAGTTCAGGTTGGCCTTCAGCTCACTTTGTAGCCCAGGCTGGCGTCAAACTTCTTGCAGCCTTCTAAGTGCTGGGATTATAGGGTTGCACCACCACAGGCTTGCTTCATGTTACAGTGATTGCTTGAGCCCAGAAGTCACTGGCTTCTCTGTTGTGCCATGGCATACTTAAGAGTGAGGGGAAGAGTTGATGAGTCCATCTTTTTCTTCATTGTTAAGCCGAGCAATAGGAGCCAGGTTGATTGTTTTCTCTCCTTTGAAAATGTACTCTCTCTTTCCCTCTCTCTCCCTCCCCCACCCTCCCTCTCTTTCTTTCACTCTCTCTCCTCCCCTCTCCTCCCTCTTTTCCTGCCTCCCTCTCCTCCCCCCCCCACACACTGATAGATGAGTTGCCAGGTAGAAGCTGAATAGTTAAAAATGAAGAAGCCAGGAAGACTGTAGAAAAATACATAAATAAAAATTAATCAGAATAGTCAGAAATAAAATAACAGTGAGGGCTAAATTTGGCTCATCTTTTAAAGGCTGACAAAAGGACTAGATTCTCTAACATTCAATTTCAAGTACACGAATGCATTTTATTAAAGACAGATTTCCTGGTATTAATTGCATAAGGAATATATTACTTGAATTTAATTAGAAGGAATTTTGAGTAATGGACATGCCCCAACGTAGAGATGATATGGAAATACTTTCTCACCTGTTTTTTTTCCTAGTGTTGATTGAATCCAGTCCTGCACTGAGCTATATTCCCAAGAAAGGGCAAAGAAAAAAAAAAAACGATCAGCAAAGAAAGAGAAAATGGAAACAAAGCTTTTGCACTCTTTGTTGTAGTCCCATCCTCACTTTTTTCTCTTGACCCCATCTCTTCTTCCTTCTTTTTTTTAAGACTTTCATACTGATTTTATGATTTTGTACTGATTTTGTCCATTGTGTTAACTGTTGATGTTTTGTGGCTGCCTTAGGTAATGCAAGCCCATCTTTAGTAATTTCCCTTTCACTTTTGCCCTCTGAGGTTATATTCTCCTAAACTGTGGTGTGTGTGGCTGGGAGCAGAATCAGGATCTTAGCCTTTTCCATTCATAGACCTGTTTTCCTTTCTTTCTTTCTTTCTTTTTTTTTCGGTACCGGGAATCGAAGTCACGACCTTGTGCTTGCCAGGCAGGTGCTTTTGCCACTGAGCTAACTCTCCAGCCCCCCTGTTTTCCTTTCTTAGGGGGCCACTAGGGCTGTTCGGTTCCTGTTATCTCTGTGTAGTTATTGATATCCTTTCAAACACTTCCTGGTTTATTTTTGAGACAGGGTCTTACTACGTATCCTAGGTGGGCCTCAGACTCACAGTGATTTCCCCCCGCCTCACCCTCCTGAGTGCTCGGATTACAGATGTGCCGCATCACGCCTGGCTGCTTTCCTGTCTTAGAGGATAGATTATGTACATTCATTCTTGCTATTCTGTCTCTGCAAAACCTTTTTCCTCTGAAATTCATGCTGTCTTGACTCATTATTAGACACAGACCCTGAAGGCTTGTCCTTTGACCTATTGTCTTTTGTGCTGTCCTCTGTTATCCTGAGGAAGCTCCAGAGTCCACTTAGATGACCCATTGAATTCTCCCAGGCTCATGGTTCCTTGACTTTTATCTCTATCTCTATTTTAGTGTTTTAGTGTTTCAGTTTTGTTCTTATTATACCTTCCCCCCCTTTTTTTTATTCTATTGAGTCATAAAATAATCTCCTAAGTTCTCAAAGAAATACAAAAACGTTGCGCTGCACATTTAAAATTTAGTTTTATGATGTTTTCAGTTTGAGACTCTGTTAATTCTCTTTCACTTGTGTGTCAAGTTGAGAACTGTAACTGCGATGTCGGGTAAGACTCCTGGGCATTGAACGCTTTGTTCTGAAGACCATGCACCTTACCAGTTTTCCTGGGAAGGTTCAGATCAAGAAGTTAGCATCTCCCTTTTCATAATACTCCTCAAAACACTCTTTCTCTGAAGGTTGGAGTCTGAAAAAAATGAAGCAGAAATCCTCTCCAGGCCAAGAGTTGTGTCGTAAGTCCTGTGTGATCAATAAGTACATTGTGGTTTCACCTCCTTTTTGACATTACCAAAATCTCAGATTTATGAGCACTCTGATTTCACTTCTTTCCCCATAGTGCCTAATTCACATTTTTCCAGGCTCCTCTACTTTGCCCTCTTTCTTTTCCTAGTCACTGTACTGACAAAACTAATTCTGGTTTAGAAACTTATTAGGAAAGAAAAATTATTAGGAAGCTAATAGGAAACCAAAAGAAAAAGAAACTCAGAAAAGAATTACCCACAATTCTCTTTCAATTGTATCTTTCAGAACTAATTTTTAAAATTTATTTATTTATTTATTGGTCTTAAAAAAGACAGGGTGTTGCTATGTAGTTCAGACTGGGCTGGAGCTTACTTTGTACCCCAGGCTGATCTCAAACTCACAACGATCCTCCTACCTCAGCCTCCCAAGTGCTGGGATTACAGGCATGCACCACCATGCCTGGCCTCAGAAGTAATTATTAATATTTGGGACATATGTATATACACAGTATATTTTACATTGTGTTGTATGTAATCATTTCTGTATTGTAGAACTTGTCTTTTCTTTTTTTGCAGTTTTGTAACTATTTGAAAGTTAGTTCTCATCCCCATTCACTGGAGATCCCCCCCCAACCCCCAACTGGAGAGTTTTGAACGTGGTAACAGGCATGTAGGTTACCAAAGTGTATAGCTTGTTTGGTGAATCTTCATCCTTATTATGTTTCCTGGACAACCATGTACAGGTACAATATGGGACATTCCTTATTGCTTTGGCCCAAAGGCTTAATTCTTTTGGCTTTATTCCTTCGGCATTGTTAAGCCTGACGTCAGTGCACGCATCTGGGGTCCCCATTTCCTTCACAGCAAATTTCTGGATCTTGTTAAGTGCATGAGGGATGTGCTTCTTGAAGCCCACTCTTTGGATGTGCTTGTGAATGTTGATGCTGCATTCTTGGGTCACCACCTTGCTGATGGCAGAATGGCCTTTCTTGTTACCCTTCTTTGTGGGAGCCATTCTGCTGGGCTCAAGTTGGAAAGGAGTGTGATGGATTGTGGGAGGGAAAGCCACAGCAAGTACAACGTAGAACTTACCTTTTTTGAGACATGGCCTCACTATGTAGATCAACAGACTCACTATGTAGTCAAGACTGGCCTCAAACTCTGGTGATGCTCCTACCTCAGCCTCCCAAGTGCTGGGATTACAAGTGTATGCCACCATGCTTATTTAAAAAAATTTTTTTTTTCTAGAATTTGTTTTAAGTACTTGTTGATACCTTTTTATGTCAGTCACTTTCTCTTTCCTACTGGTGCAGATGTTCAGTTTATGGTGGGATTATGTTCTGATAAACCTATCCTTAGTTCAAAATATTATAGGTTCAAAATGCATTTAACACACCTACTGAACATCACAGCTTAGTGACACACTACACTTTATCCTTTTTTTTTTTTTTTTTTTTTTTTGAGACAAGGTCTTGGTATATAGTTCAGGCTGGCTTTGAGCTCACTGTGTAGCCCAGCCTGGCGTTGAACTCACAGCAGTCCTTGTGCCGCAGCCTCCTAAGTATTGGGATTACTGGTGTGCACCACCATGCCTGGCCACACTACAGTTTGGAGTATCATTTTCTCTCCTGGTTGTGTGGCTGCCTGGGAGATGTGGTTCATTGCAGCTGCTCAGGGTTTCTAGAGAGATGTGTATAGCTAATCTAGAAAAAGGGTAAAACCTGAAATTTGAAGTATAGTTTCTATTGAATGCATATCACTTGAATACTATTGTGAAATTGAAAAACTGTAAGTTGCACCATTAAGGTGTGGACCAACTGGACTCCCTCACTCATTCCCTCCCTCCCTTTCTATCTGCCTCCCTCTGTTCCCCCTCCCCTCTTCTTCCCTCTTTTCTTTTGAGTTGCTCCTGCTTTAGCCTCCCCAAGTGCTGGGATTACATATGTGTGCCACTTGTGTGGCGTGGACTGTCTTATTGGGACATAGTGTCCATGATACTTGATAGATTTGTTTTGTTCTCTTTTTCTCTCCCTTTCCCTCTTTCTCCCTCCATTCTCTTTCTTTCTCTCTTTTTTATCCTTCTTCCCCCCAGGGGGCGGGGCAGGTGGCAAATTGCCCAGGCTGGCCTCACATTTGGTAGCCTCCTGCCTTAGGCTCCTGAGTGCTGGGGTTTCAGACACGCACAGACTTGTTCAGGGTTCTGCTTTCTACAAACATACCACCTCCACTTAGCCCTTGGTAATTTTTTCTTTTCTTTTCTTTTTTTTTAAGATAGGGTCTTGCTATATAGTGCAGGCTGGCCTTGAACTTGGAGTGATCTTTCTGCCTTAGCCTCCCGATTGCTGGGATTACAGGCATGGGCTATTATGTCTGGCTGTTTTTGGTTTTTTGAGACAGTCTCATTGTGTAATGCAGGCTGACATCAGACTCATGGTGATCCTCTTGCCTCAGGCTTTCGAGTGCTGGGGTTACGGTTATGGGCTACCATGCCAGACCTTGATTCTAATTTTGTAAAAGTGAGTATTTAATTCCCCTTCCCTGCCACATATATGTGAATGGATATTTATCTAAACATGAAAAGACATATGGAGGAACACTTTCAAGGCTAACATGTTCATGTCCAGATTTGGGGATGGAGGTGAGGTGAGAGTGGTCATTGACTTATTGAAGGTTAACTGAATTCTGCTGTCACACTGAACAAGGTGACAGTAGTACTCCCAAGGGAGAACCGAGAGTCAACTTGACTCTCGGTTCTCCCTTGGGAGTACTACTGTTTGGGCAAAAGGTATGGCTGGAGATATCTTAAGTAGATGGTCTTAGTCTTTCTTCCTATACTCCTATATGGTATCTGCTGAGGTTTTATTTTTAAGCTATTGTAGTTTCTATCTAGATGTCTCCCCAAAGTCTTGTGCACTATAGGTGGAGCTTTGAGGAGGTAATTGGATCATGGGGGTGTGGCATTCACCTGTGAATTCATTGACTGATGAATTTATAGCCAAATGTGATGTTGGGAGGTAGAGCCTGGTAGAAGAGATAGTCATTGGGGTGTGTCCTAGAAGAGTCTTATCTCACTCCTTCCTTCCCTGATCCATCTGTGCTTCCTGACTGCCACACTTCCCTTCCATATCCCTCTGCCATGCTTTGGAGCTCTCTGGATTATGGATTGAAACTTCAAACTATGAGCCAAGGGTCAGGTGTGGGCCTGTAATCTCAGCACTCGGGAGGCTGAGGCAGGAGGGTCGTTGGGAATTTGAGGCCAGCCTGGGCTACAGAGTGAGCTCAGGGCCAGCCTGAACTGTATAGCAAGATCCTGTCTCAAAAATAAACAAACTATGAGCCAAAATAAACTTCTTCTTTAAGTTGTGGGTGTTGGATAGTGTGTCTCAGCAATGAGAAAGTAACTTAAGACATTTGCCTTGTGCTTGTTCCTTCTTGATTTGTTATGGATATCCTCATTCACTTATTGGTTGTAACTATCTGGATTTGCTTCCAAATCTTTCTCCACCTTACCTCTGCTCCAGTGTGCAAGGTCTTCTGGACATCATTTCAGGCACCTTACTGTATTCATTTTCTCCAAAACCGTACTCAGTGTCCTTCCTCCCAAATTAGTTACTATTTTCTGCCCTTCATTGTTAGTAGGGATTGAACCCAGGAAGTTGTATAAGGCACTCTACTGCTGAGCTATGTCTCCAGCCATTTTTTTCTGGATCATTTTGATTTTCCTTTTTAGAGGGTGTAATATTTTTTCTATTTTGGGAAATATTTTATGAAGTAGGTGGTTTGAATGGTCTTTAGTTTTGTACTAAAGGAAGATAGTCTGCTTTGGGGGGTGGGAAAGGCATGCACAGAACCAAAAACAAAGTTAAATACAGTGAATGGTACAAATTTGTTTGGTTTTGAGTTGGCAGGCATGAGTTCTCAAATTGATGGGAATCTGAAATACTAGGAGTTTTCACCATACATAGTGTTTTTAAAAAAGAGCGTAGGCTGTAACCAGCATGGTGCTTCAGGGAAATCGAGGTTGAGTCAGGAGAGCAAATTTGAAATTGTGTTTTTTTTTTTTTTTCCTGTCTTTTTGAGACAGGGTCTTGCTATGCAGTTCAGGCTGGCCTTGAGCTCACTTTGTAGCCCAGGCTGGCCTCGAACTCTGAAGGATCCTCCTGCCTCAGCCTCCCGAGTGCTGGAATTACAGGTGTGTGCCACCATGTCCTGCTCGAAATTGTGTTCTAATAATCCAGACACGAGTTAAGAATTTGGACTACATGAAAGAAGAATGCAAAAAATCTTACAGATTTGAGGGAACAGGCTGAATGTGAGGAATGGAGGAGAGGGACTCGGGACTGTGGTGTTTTGAGCCTGACTGACCAGTAAACTCTGAAAATAGTGGTAGTACCTTCATAGTTGGTGATCAGGTAGAAAAATATTCAAATTTGTCATTTAGGGCTGGGGTGGGATTCTTGCCTTCAGTGGGCCATTCAGAAGTCTGTGGGAGAAATTTTCATTGCTCTTGTAGTGAATGTCCCATTCTGTGCATGGCCCTCTTGCCTCTGTAATTTAGTGGGCAAGATTTGTAGAGAGCAGCACCACTTTAGATCAGAAAAGTTCGAGACAGTGTCAGCAGAGAGCTTAAGGCCAAATAAATCATGAGAAAATTCGTTGAAAACTTTTTTTTTGAGATAGGGTCTTGCTGTGTACTTCAGGCTGGCCTTGATTTCACTTTGCAGCCCAGGCTGGCCTTGAACTTGCTAGTGATCCTCATGCCTTGGCCTCTTGAGTGCTGGGCTTATAGGCATGTGCCACCACACCAGCTCTTGAAAAGTTTTTAGGGGCTGGGGATTTAGCTCAGCGGCACAGCGCCTGCCTGGCAAGCGCAAGGTCGTGGGTTTGATTCCCGGTACTGGGAAAAAACCAAAAAAAAAAAAAAAAAAGTTCTTTTAAAAATTAATTAATTAATTTATTATTGAAAAATTTTGAAGAAAGAAAAAAAGGTGA